CAATGGGAGGCCGTACAGGGACCCAGGTCACACTGTGGGACCAGCAGCAGCGTGACCAGGAGGTACGGGGGCCCATGGCCGATATGGGGCCTGGCGGCACCTATGGAAGGCCGCTAATCTGCCAGCAACCTATGACAAAATGGAAAACCGCAGGAGTGTAAGGAGACCTCAAAGTGGCACATGGCAGAGTGGAAGCAATGGGAGGCCGTACAGGGACCCAGGTCACACTGTGGGCCAGCAGCAGCGTGACCAGGCGGTACGGGGGCCCATGGCCGATATGGGGCCTGGCGGCACCTATGGAAGGCCGCTAATCTGCCAGCAACCTATGACAAAATGGAAAACCGCAGGAGTGTGAGGAGACCTCAAAGTGGCACATGGCAGAGTGGAAGCAATGGGAGGCCGTACAGGGACCCAGGTCACACTGTGGGACCAGCAGCAGCAGCGTGACCAGGAGGTACGGGGGCCCATGGCCGATATGGGGCCTGGCGGCACCTATGGAAGGCCGCTAATCTGCCAGCAACCTATGACAAAATGGAACCCTGGGCTGGGAGCAGAGCAGAAACCGCCGTATCTTTATCACGTTTTTTCACAGGGCACCGAATGGCGACGTGCATATGCTGACGCAACGCTGTAGTCCCAACATGGGCCCCCTGGCCACGCTTGACTTTCTGGCCACATAGCGTGACATTAGGCTACGTTTACTTACGGGGCGGCCCATGAAAAAACTTGCCCACACCGCCGAGTAGGAAACTTTGCACCCGCTACTCCAGGTCACACTGGCTGACTGCAACTTCCTCCGTGCACACATGGCACCACTACTGGCTGAACTGTGGTGGTAGGCTGCAGTGGAGCTGCTGCTCTACTCCGTGGCCGTTTGCCTCCACTGACAAAGCTGCGACCCTGCTGCCTCCTGGGCAGCAATGGGAGGCCGTACAGGGACCCAGGTCACACTGTGGGACCCAGCAGCAGCGTGAGGCGGTACGGGGGCCCATGGCCGATATGGGGCCTGGCGGCACCTATGGAAGGCCGCTAATCTGCCAGCAACCTATGACAAAATGGAAAACCGCAGGAGTGTGAGGAGACCTCAAAGTGGCACATGGCAGAGTGGAAGCAATGGGAGGCCGTACAGGGACCCAGGTCACACTGTGGGCCAGCAGCAGCAGCGTGACCAGGCGGTACGGGGGCCCATGGCCGATATGGGGCCTGGCGGCACCTATGGAAGGCCTGTAATCTGCCAGCAACCTATGACAAAATGGACAACCGCAGGAGTGTGAGGAGATTTCAAAGTGGCACATGGCAGAGTGGAAGCAATGGGAGGCCGTACAGGGACCCAGGTCACACTGTGGGCCAGCAGCAGCGTGACCAGGAGGTACGGGGGCCCATGGCCGATATGGGGCCTGGCGGCACCTATGGAAGGCCTGTAATCTGCCAGCAACCTATGACAAAATGGACAACCGCAGGAGTGTGAGGAGATTTCAAAGTGGCACATGGCAGAGTGGAAGCAATGGGAGGCCGTACAGGGACCCAGGTCACACTGTGGGCTCAGCAGCAGCGTGACCAGGAGGTACGGGGGCCCATGGCCGATATGGGGCCTGGCGGCACCTATGGAAGGCCGCTAATCTGCCAGCAACCTATGACAAAATGGAAAACCGCAGGAGTGTGTGAGGAGACCTCAAAGTGGCACATGGCAGAGTGGAAGCAATGGGAGGCCGTACAGGGACCCAGGTCACACTGTGGGCCAGCAGCAGCAGCAGCGTGACCAGGCGGTACGGGGGCCCATGGCCGATATGGGGCCTGGCGGCACCTATGGAAGGCCGCTAATCTGCCAGCAACCTATGACAAAATGGACAACCGCAGGAGTGTGAGGAGATTTCAAAGTGGCACATGGCAGAGTGGAAGCAATGGGAGGCCGTACAGGGACCCAGGTCACACTGTGGGCCCAGCAGCAGCGTGACCAGGCGGTACGGGGGCCCATGGCCGATATGGGGCCTGGCGGCACCTATGGAAGGCCGCTAATCTGCCAGCAACCTATGACAAAATGGACAACCGCAGGAGTGTGAGGAGATTTCAAAGTGGCACATGGCAGAGTGGAAGAATGGGAGGCCGTACAGGGACCCAGGTCACACTGTGGGCTCAGCAGCAGCGTGACCAGGAGGTACGGGGGCCCATGGCCGATATGGGGCCTGGCGGCACCTATGGAAGGCCGCTAATCTGCCAGCAACCTATGACAAAATGGAAAACCGCAGGAGTGTGAGGAGACCTCAAAGTGGCACATGGCAGAGTGGAAGCAATGGGAGGCCGTACAGGGACCCAGGTCACACTGTGGGCCCAGCAGCAGCGTGACCAGGAGGTACGGGGGCCCATGGCCGATATGGGGGGGCCTGGCGGCACCTATGGAAGGCCTGTAATCTGCCAGCAACCTATGACAAAATGGAAAAAACCAGCAGGAGTGTGAGGAGATTTCAAAGTGGCACATGGCAGAGTGGAAGCAATGGGAGGCCGTACAGGGACCCAGGTCACACTGTGGGCCCAGCAGCAGCGTGACCAGGAGGGTACGGGGGCCCATGGCCGATATGGGGGCCTGGCGGCACCTATGGAAGGCCGTAATCTGCCAGCAACCTATGACAAAATGGAAAACCGCAGGAGTGTGAGGAGACCTCAAAGTGGCACATGGCAGAGTGGAAGCAATGGGAGGCCGTACAGGGACCCAGGTCACACTGTGGGACCAGCAGCAGCGTGACCAGGCGGTACGGGGGCCCATGGCCGATATGGGGCCTGGCGGCACCTATGGAAGGCCGCTAATCTGCCAGCAACCTATGACAAAATGGGAAACCGCAGGAGTGTGAGGAGATTTCAAAGTGGCACATGGCAGAGTGGAAGCAATGGGAGGCCGTACAGGGACCCAGGTCACACTGTGGGCTCAGCAGCAGCGTGACCAGGCGGTACGGGGGCCCATGGCCGATATGGGGCCTGGCGGCACCTATGGAAGGCCTGTAATCTGCCAGCAACCTATGACAAAATGGAAAACCGCAGGAGTGTGAGGAGACCTCAAAGTGGCACATGGCAGAGTGGAAGCAATGGGAGGCCGTACAGGGACCCAGGTCACACTGTGGGCCAGCAGCAGCGTGACCAGGCGGTACGGGGGGGCCCATGGCCGATATGGGGCCTGGCGGAACCTATGGAAGGCCTGTAATCTGCCAGCAACCTATGACAAAATGGAAAACCGCAGGAGTGTGAGGAGACCTCAAAGTGGCACATGGCAGAGTGGAAGCAATGGGAGGCCGTACAGGGACCCAGGTCACACTGTGGGCCCAGCAGCAGCGTGACCAGGAGGTACGGGGGCCCATGGCCGATATGGGGCCTGGCGGCACCTATGGAAGGCCGCTAATCTGCCAGCAACCTATGACAAAATGGAAAACCGCAGGAGTGTGAGGAGACCTCAAAGTGGCACATGGCAGAGTGGAAGCAATGGGAGGCCGTACAGGGACCCAGGTCACACTGTGGGCTCAGCAGCAGCGTGACCAGGCGGTACGGGGGCCCATGGCCGATATGGGGCCTGGCGGCACCTATGGAGGCCTGTAATCTGCCAGCAACCTATGACAAAATGGAAAACCGCAGGAGTGAGGAGACCTCAAAGTGGCACATGGCAGAGTGGAAGCAATGGGAGGCCGTACAGGGACCCAGGTCACACTGTGGGACCAGCAGCAGCGTGACCAGGAGGTACGGGGGCCCATGGCCGATATGGGGCCTGGCGGCACCTATGGAAGGCCGCTAATCTGCCAGCAACCTATGACAAAATGGAAAACCGCAGGAGTGTGAGGAGACCTCAAAGTGGCACATGGCAGAGTGGAAGCAATGGGAGGCCGTACAGGGACCCAGGTCACACTGTGGGCCCAGCAGCAGCGTGACCAGGAGGTACGGGGGCCCATGGCCGATATGGGGGGCCTGGCGGCACCTATGGAAGGCCGCTAATCTGCCAGCAACCTATGACAAAATGGAAAACCGCAGGGAGTGTGAGGAGACCTCAAAGTGGCACATGGCAGAGTGGAAGCAATGGGAGGCCGTACAGGGACCCAGGTCACACTGTGGGCAGCAGCAGCAGCAGCGTGACCAGGCGGTACGGGGGCCCATGGCCGATATGGGGCCTGGCGGCACCTATGGAAGGCCTGTAATCTGCCAGCAACCTATGACAAAATGGAAAACCGCAGGAGTGTGAGGAGACCTCAAAGTGGCACATGGCAGAGTGGAAGCAATGGGAGGCCGTACAGGGACCCAGGTCACACTGTGGGACCCAGCAGCAGCAGCGTGACCAGGAGGTACGGGGGCCCATGGCCGATATGGGGCCTGGCGGCACCTATGGAAAGGCCGCTAATCTGCCAGCAACCTATGACAAAATGGAAAACCGCAGGAGTGTGAGGAGACCTCAAAGTGGCACATGGCAGAGTGGAAGCAATGGGAGGCCGTACAGGGACCCAGGTCACACACTGTGGGCTCAGCAGCAGCGTGACCAGGTGGTACGGGGGCCCATGGCCGATATGGGGCCTGGCGGAACCTATGGAAGGCCTGTAATCTGCCAGCAACCTATGACAAAATGGAAAAACCGCAGGAGTGTGAGGAGACCTCAAAGTGGCACATGGCAGAGTGGAAGCAATGGGAGGCCGTACAGGGACCCAGGTCACACTGTGGGACCAGCAGCAGCGTGACCAGGAGGTACGGGGGCCCATGGCCGATATGGGGCCTGGCGGCACCTATGGAAGGCCGCTAATCTGCCAGCACCTATGACAAAATGGAAAAAAACCGCAGGAGTGTGAGGAGACCTCAAAGTGGCACATGGCAGAGTGGAAGCAATGGGAGGCCGTACAGGGACCCAGGTCACACTGTGGGACCAGCAGCAGCGTGACCAGGAGGTACGGGGGCCCATGGCCGATATGGGGCCTGGCGGCACCTATGGAAGGCCGCTAATCTGCCAGCAACAGCAACCTATGACAAAATGGAAAACCGCAGGAGTGTAAGGAGACCTCAAAGTGGCACATGGCAGAGTGGAAGCAATGGGAGGCCGTACAGGGACCCAGGTCACACTGTGGGCTCAGCAGCAGCGTGACCGAGGCGGTACGGGGGCCCATGGCCGATATGGGGCCTGGCGGCACCTATGGGAGGCCTGCTAATCTGCCAGCAACCTATGACAAAATGGAAAACCGCAGGAGTGTGAGGAGACCTCAAAGTGGCACATGGCAGAGTGGAAGCAATGGGAGGCCGTACAGGGACCCAGGTCACACTGTGGGCCCAGCAGCAGCGTGACCAGGCGGTACGGGGGCCCATGGCCGATATGGGGCCTGGCGGCACCTATGGAAGGCCTGTAATCTGCCAGCAACCTATGACAAAATGGACAACCGCAGGAGTGTGAGGAGATTTCAAAGTGGCACATGGCAGAGTGGAAGCAATGGGAGGCCGTACAGGGACCCAGGTCACACTGTGGGACCAGCAGCAGCGTGACCAGGAGGTACGGGGGCCCATGGCCGATATGGGGCCTGGCGGCACCTATGGAAGGCCTGTAATCTGCCAGCAACCTATGACAAAATGGACAACCGCAGGAGGTGAGGAGACCTCAAAGTGGCACATGGCAGAGTGGAAGCAATGGGAGGCCGTACAGGGACCCAGGTCACACTGTGGGCTCAGCAGCAGCGTGACCAGGCGGTACGGGGGCCCATGGCCGATTTGGGGCCTGGCGGCACCTATGGAGGCCTTTAATCTGCCAGCAACCTATGACAAAATGGAAAACCGCAGGAGTGTGAGGAGACCTCAAAGTGGCACATGGCAGAGTGGAAGCAATGGGAGGCCGTACAGGGACCCAGGTCACACTGTGGGCCCAGCAGCAGCGTGACCAGGCGGTACGGGGGCCCATGGCCGATTGGGGCCTGGCGGCACCTATGGGAGGCCCGTAATCTGCCAGCACCCCCCATCTGGCCACGCTTGACTTTCTGGCCACATAGTCGACATTAGGCTACGTTTACTTCCTCGGGGCGGCTTGACGAAAACTTGCCACACCGCCGAGTAGGAAACTTTGCACCCGCTACTCCTCACTGGCTGACTGCTACTTCCTCCGTGCACACCGGCACCACTACTGGCTGTGGTGGTAGGCTGCAGTGGAGCTGCTGCTCTACTCCGTGGCCGTTTGCCTCCACTGACACAGCTGCGACCCTGATGCCTCCTGGCAGCAGCAATGGGAGGCCGTACAGGGACCCAGGTCACACTGTGGGCCCAGCAGCAGCGTGACCAGGCGGTACGGGGGCCCATGGCCGATTTGGGCCTGGCGGCACCTATGGAAGGCCTGTAATCTGCCAGCAACCTATGACAAAATGGAAAACCGCAGGAGTGTAAGGAGACCTCAAAGTGGCACTGTCAGGGCTCCCAGGTATGACCAGAGGTGTGTGACTGAAGCAGGGAAACGCAGACCTCAGATATGTTATAAACAATATAATTTATTAACACTAACAGTACAAACATAAACGCAGTGCAATACTAAACATAATACAGTGCAAACAAACCAAACCAACCACCCACAGATAACAGTATATACAAGCAAGCGTCGTCAGGCAGGCCGGGTCAACATCAATTGGGCAGGTAGGTACGGGGGGAGCAAGCAGAGAATGGTCGGGGTCACAGGCCAGGTTCAGCAGGTAGCAAGCAGCGAGGTACAGAGGGTCAGACAGAGGGGTGGTCAGGGTCACAAGCCAGGATCAGAGCAGGAGAAGTCAGCAGCAGTTCAGATCAGGGTCAGCAAAGGAACAGAAACAGGATGCAGGACAGATACAGGGCCCAGGACAAACACAACACCAAGGCAGAGTCTGCAAGTCTGGCCATCCCTTAAATACCCCAGTATCATCAGTTCCAGGTGTTAGCTGGCTGAAAGGTTGAGTCTCTGATTGCTGGGAGCACCCGCTGGCCAGCCCTGGTACTGCAGATCAAAAGGCAGGTGAGTCCCACCATTGCTGGCCAGTCCATTCCTAACAGTACCCCCCCCTCAAGGAGCGGCCTCAGGACGCTCCAAACAGTCCTAGCTGGGCAAAATGTTCCACCGCCCGGGTCTGGCAACTGGCGGGATAGCAAAGACTGGCACACCGGGCAGGACTCCGGGCAGCGGCACACCGGGCTGGACTCCGGGCAGCGGCACATCGAGCAGAGGCACTCCGGGCAGAGGCACACCGGGCAGAGGCACATCGGGCAGGACTCCGGGCAGAGGCACATCGGGCAGAGGCACATCGGGCAGGACTCCGGGCAGAGGCACACCGGGCAGAGGCACATCGGGCAGGACTCCGGGCAGAGGCACATCGGGCAGAGGCACATCGGGCAGAGGCACATCGGGCAGAGGCACACCGGGCAGAGGCACACCAGGCAGAGGCACATCGGGCAGGACTCCGGGCAGAGGCACATCGGGCAGAGGCACATCGGGCAGAGGCACATCGGGCAGGACTCCGGGCAGAGGCACATCGGATTACCAGGCGAAGCAGCAGGCAGCGGGCCACCAGGCGGAGCAGCGGGCCCCCGGGACCCCGGGCGGGGCGACAGGCACCGGGACCCCGGGCGGGGCGACAGGCACCGGGACCCCGGGCGGGGCGACAGGCACCGGGACCCCGGGCGGGGCGACAGGCACCGGGACCCCGGGCGGGGCGACAGGCACCGGGACCCCGGGCGGGGCGACAGGCACCGGGCCCCCAGGCGGGGCGACAGGCATCGGGCCCCCAGGAGGGGCGACAGGCATCGTGCCCCCAGG